CACCCTTACATAGGAATGGATCCACACGTGGATGAAACTTACCGGCACGAGGCGCTGTAGACCGTGAAGACCTGCGACTCGCGAAGCACTGCATTCGTGTCCCCACTCGGGGCAGGTGAGAATGCGATCGCACAGCAAGCTGGAAAAATGCCTCGGCGCTGCGTTTGCGCCCGACGGACCGTGGGCACCGAGGCGGCACCCCTCGCAGGGCACCGCTGCGCCCTCCGCCGGCTCGTGGACCGGGCTCGGCCTGACCTAAAGAACGATAAATAAGGAACGAAGCCCCGGAAGAACGCATAGGGAACGATACATAAAGCATGCGAACCTAAGGAACGACCGAGCCCCTTTTGACTAGTAAGTGTTCCTTATTCAGGCCGCTCACTGTGTTCTTGACAGCAGCAACGGTCGAGCGGAGAGCGGTGGCGCACCGGTCGCGCACCAGACGACCCGTGCAGGAGAACGATGCAAGAGGGCGCGAATCGGCGCCCAGAGTCCAACACGAGAGCCCACACAAGACATCCCGCACGAGGCCTCCAGGACCACTCTCTCTCAGTGTTAGAAGCAATCACAGGGGCAAGCGCCCCCTCGAGCGGCACGGCGGCCAAGGCGGGAAGGCCATCCGCCTGCGGCTGCGGATCTCCAGTGCCCGCCAGTGCCCCCGTCGCTTCCAGGCAGCGCGCCGTGGCCGCTGGAGCCGGGCCCTCTGCACCCACGACTGGCGTCTCTGCTGGCGGCGCGACCCGCCTGGCCTCCGCCTCGGGGATGTGGGCACCCGTCCCCCTCAAGGGGGCGCGGCTGCCAAGGCCTGCCAGGCAGTCCGACCGCATCTGCGAAGCTCTCCCGGTCTCCAGTCGGCTACGCGCAAGGAAGGGCCCCTGGGTGAGAGCGACCTTTGGTGCACGGCTTTGCCGCTTCGGGGGGCCGCGTGGGGACCAAACCCGAGCGCGCAAGACGCTGCTATCGCATCGCGTTCGGCGATCGGGGGACCCCTTTTATCGGACCGTCACTAAAGGTCACTGCGGCGAAGGGTCATTCTTTCGGGGAGACGTAAGGCTCGGGTGCGGGGGACTCGGGTTGGCCTGACGGGGCCATCATAAAAATCACGAGGCCCAATCTGAAATCGGACGCGAGCTCCCGCTGCAGACATCCGCGAAGACTGGACCGCCAACATCCAGGACGCGCTCGTCCAGAAACGTCGGCAGACCCGATTTCCGGCTTAGCCGTTGCGGTGAGGATCGGGGGCGGCAAAGAGGGGGGTGATGACTAGGGGGGGGTGGATATCATGGCGGGGGCCATGATATTTCCCCAGTCCCCTCCCTGGGCCGCGCACATGCCGCCGGTCATGATGTGCACACCCCCCTCTTGGACACCCCCCTCTTGGCCGCTCCCGATTGGTGCGGGCCCACATGGGTCCCCCAGTCGCCGAACGCGCTGCGATGTAAGCGGCTTGCGCGCTCGGGTTTGGCTCCCCCGCGCCCCAACGCCGCGCACCAGAGGTCTCTCCTTACCTATGGGGTCACTCCTGCGTGCCGCCGAGACAACGAGTCGGGGAAGCGCAGCACGCCGGGCCCCCGGGCGCTTCCGGGCAGCACGCCCGGGGCTCCGGGGCTCCGGGGGGCCTTCGGCGCCTCGTGCCGGGCACGGCGCCGCCCTGCCTGGCCGCAGGTCGGGCATGTCCCCATACTTACAGGGGGGCTCGGGACGAAAAATTTGGGAAATAGTCAAATGATCCTAGTGCGACCCTACCTAGGAGTTGGAGCCCCCAGGAAAGCAGCATTAGTAGTAACAGTAAAGCTAAGCTAAAGCTAAGCTAAGGCTAAGCTAACACTTAGCTAACGCTAAGCTAAAGCTAAGCGAAAGCGAAGCTAAAGCTAAGCTAAAGCTAAACTAAAGCTAAGTTAAAGCTAAGCTACAACTAAAGCTAACAATAAGCTAAAGCTGAGCTAAAGCTAAGCTAAAGCTAAGCTGAAGCTAAGCGAAAGCTAAGCGAAAGCTAAGCTAAAGCTAAGCTAAGGCTAAGCTATATCTAATCTAAAGCTAAGCTGAAGCTAAGCTGAAGCTCAGCTAAAGCTAAGCTAAAGCTAAGCTAAATCTAAGCTAAAGCTAAGCTAACGCTAACGCTAATTATAAGCTAAAGCTAAGCTAAAGCTAAGCTACAGCTAGGCTAAATCTAAGCTACAGCTAAGCTAAAGCTAAGCTAACGCTAAGCTAAATCTTGGCTAAAGCTAAGCTAAGGCTAAGCTAAAGCTAATCTAAAGCTAAGCTAAAGCTAAGCTAACGCTAAGCTAAATCTTGGCTAAAGCTAAGCTAAGACTAAGCTAAAGCTAAGCTAAAGCTAATGCTAACTATAAGCTAAAGCTAAGCTAAAGCTAAGCTAAAACTAAGCTAACTCTAAGCTACAACTAAGCTAAAGCTAAGCTAACGCTAAGCTAAATCTAAGCTAAAGCTAAGCTAAGGCTAAGCTAAAGCTAATCTAAAGCTATGCTGAAGTTAAGCTAACATTAAACAGAAGCTAAGCTAAAGCTAAGCTGCAGTTAAGCTAAATCTAAGCAAAAGCTAAGCTAATGCTAAGCTAGCACTAAGCTAAAGCTAAGCTAAATCTAAACTGAAGCTAAGCTAAAGGTAAGCTAAAGCTAAGCTAAATCTAAGCTAAAGCTAAGCTAAAGCTAAGCTAACACTAAGCTGAAGCTAAGCTAAAGCTAAGCTAAAGCTAAGCTAAAGCTAAAGCTAAAGCTAAGCTAAAGCTAAAGCTAAGGCTAAAGCTCCCAGGGGACTGGGGGAACCGCGGGGCGGGGACTGGGGGAACCGCCCAGGGCGGTTAGCACTGCCCGGCCCTTTAAGCAAAGAGAGTAGGAACCCTTCTAGGCAGAGCCTAGGTAGGGAAATATAGGAGAGCACAAAGTGACATAAACATAAGAACTCGGAGGTCCGCGCGGATTTCTCGGATCGGCGCTGTACCCCCCTCCCTGGCGCGCGGAGCTCGCCAGGGGCGGCGCCGGAGGCGCCGCCGGGGGGCCCCAGCGCCGATCCGAGAAATCCGCGCGGGCCTCCGAGTTTTTATGTTTATGCTACTTTTTGCTCCCCTGGAATATTCTCTTCAAAGGATCAGAAATAATCGACAAGTTCGTCCCCAGACTGTTTTTTGTTAAAACTATTTTTGCATGTTCCTCCTGTAGAGGGACAGGCCCGACTCAAGCCTCCCTCCCGAGACGCCCGCCCGAGACTGGACCTCTTACGGGCTACCCTTGTGGAGACAAGAAGCCCCTCCCAAGACCCCCCCCCCGAGACAGGACCTCTTAGTGGCTACCATTGTGGAGGCAAGACGCCCCTCCCGAGACGCCCGCCCGAGACTGGACCTCCTACGGGCTACCCTAGGCAAGACACCCCTCCCAAGACACCCCCCCGAGACTGGACTCCTGACTGGCTACCCTTGTGGAGGCAAGACACCCCTCCCGAGACGCCCGCCCGAGACTGGACTCTTTACAGCCTGGCCTCCGCCCCGCGCGAACGCCACGGGGGCGCGATCCCACCCCGAGCGGCACGGCCCGCTGGCTCGCCGCGGCTCGGGCGCCCCCTCCTCGTGCGTGCAGTGGAGCGCCCGACCACGAGAGACCTGCCACGAGGAACCCAGCAGGAGGAGGAGGAGGAGGAGGAGGAGGAGGAGGAGGAGGAGGAGGAGGAGGAGGAGGGAGGAGGAGGAGGAGGGAGGAGGAGGAGGAGGAGGAGGGAACACGGTTGAATAGCAGACCTGCCACGAGAAACCCAGCCCTGAGACCCCAGGACGTGCATCGATGTCTGGCGCGGGGACGTCGCGCTTCCCACGGCCAGACCACCGAAACCCAAGAAACCCAGGGTAGCCTGGAGGCGAGCGGGGTGCTTCTTGGCATGGGCCTCCAGTGTATTTTGGCCTCGTGCGTGTTTTTTTCTGTTTTCTGCAAGGTGACCCCCAGCGTGCTCCTCGATGGCCCTTCCGGAGAAAGAGTGCACACGCCCGAGCGATGCCAAGTCATGGCTTGAGGGCAGTCCGACTGCGCCCTGCGTGGCTCCAGCGCGCACCCGAGCATCCGGCGCTTCCCGCCGTCGCGCCCCTTGCCGCCGAGGTTTCACCAGTGGCAGCGGCGGTCGGCGGCTCGGCCAGCAGCACGACCTGCTCGGCCGCCCAGGCACGGTCTGCCTCCGTGGCAGCACCCGCCGGCGGCGTATAGGCGACCAAGAGGGCGGCCCACCCGCACAGCGAGTGTGGAGGGCAGCATGGGGCACGAGGGCACGGCGGCGGCTGGGGTGCGGAGTGCTCGTCGGCAGCCGCGAGGTCGCCGAGGGCAGCCCGGGAGTGGCAGCGGCATGCTCCGCGGCAGCTGCGGCATCGGCATGTGCGGCAGGTTCGCGTCGTGTCGACCCCGGCGTTGGTGCCTGACACCGCGGGGATCGGTCAAACTTGAACGGTCGGCCCTTTCAAAAAAGCTGGATCGTTCAAGGATGGGCCGATTCTTGGCCACAGGCGGCGTTCAACCTTGATCGCACGCGCTGGGGTCGCCGCCGGTCGACAGGACGCGAACCTACCGTAGGCCGTAGGGGAGCACCTTCACGATCATGAGCGGCAACATTCTCTCCATCTCGTCGTCGTCGTCGTCGCCGTCGTCGTCGAAGTACATGCGCACAAGACGAGTGCGCAATGCCACGCCAGGCAACTCGCACCACTGCGGCCACATCCCAGCAGAACACGGGGCGGCGGTGATGAGCGGCCCAACCCAGCTGGCAAAGAGCAAGATGGGCCTCGTCCAAGGCGACTCCGCGGCTGCCCGCACACGCCGGAACGCAGGCGGGGGAGGCGCGCATGAGGCTCGGCGGCGTGGCTGGTTGGAGCACAACTGGTGACAACCTGAAGCCCCCACCGGGCGAGCCTTTTGGGAAAGAGGAGGGAGGGAGGAGTGAGCGAGGAGGAGCGATGAGGAGCGAGGAGGAACGAGGGGGATCGAGAAGGAGAAAATGAGGGGGAGGACCTGCGCTCCTCTCTCCTGCGCTGCACTTCAGGGTCCACCTCGGGCGACTTCTCGCCCTTCCTCTTCTTCGCCCCCCTGCCGGTGCATCCGGTGCGGCCAGCGCCCCGGAGAGCACGCCGGCTCCTCCGCCTGGCAGCGCCTGGGGCCGTTCGGACGAGGAGGGCAGGCAGACAGACGCGGGGACGGATAGGCAGGCCGATGAAGAGACGGGCAGGCAGGCAGGCAGGCAGGACAGCACCCCTCGAAGCATCAGCTCGTGCCTGGAAGCGGGCCCAGCCCAAGGTCCCCGAGCAGCGGTGCGGGATGCAATCATGGCGTCGGAGGGCAGCTTGAGGGCCACCTCCGCCTCCGCCTCCGCCTCCGCCTCCGCCTCCGCCTCCTCCTCCTCCTCCTCCTCCTCCTCCTCCTCCTCCTCCTCCTCCTCCTCCTCCTCCTCCTCCTCCTCCTCCTCCCCCTCCCCCTCCCCCTCCCCCTCCTCCTTCTCCTCCTCCTCCTCTTCCTCCTCCCTCCCTCCCTCCCTCCCTCCCTCCCTCCCTCCCTCCCTCACGGGGCGATCGGGGACGGGGGCAGCGATGGGGGAACTGGCGGCAGCGGAGGCCGGGCACCAGGACCAGCGGAGGACGCAACGTTGGAAGACAACCGTCGGAAGGGCCCCGTTGGAAGACAACCGTCTAAAAATGCTCAACCGTGCCAACGCACTATTCCTGAGGTTTCAGCGCCGCGAATCAACGTTACTGTTGCGACCTGACGATCCTACATCGTGCCAGATTGCCATGTCTGGGACGCCAACACCGCGCATCACTGCGACTGTCGCGCCCTGACAATCCGAAATTGTGTAAACCATCAGATTCTTTGAAACTGTCGGAAATTATTAAGACGAGTGTGCGCGGCGCTGAAGCGAGGACCACATTCTGAAAAGAAACCGCCCTCCATCCGTGAAGCTCTTGCGAACTTTCAAGACGAATGTGCGCGGCGCTGAAGCGAGCGCCACATTCTGAACACGACCCGCCCTCCATCTACAAAGCTCTTACATGTTTCAAAACGAACGTGCGCGGCGCTAAGGCGAGCGCTGCATTTTGAAAACGACCCGCCCTCCAGCTGTGAAATTCTGGCATGGTTTAGAACGAGTATGCGCGGGACAATGGCGAGATCCACATGTTGAAGACCATCCGCCCTCCATCCGTAAAGCTGTTGTTATTCTTCAATATTAATGGGCGCGGCGCTAATGCGAGAGCCACGTTTTGCAAACGACCCACCTTCCATCGTGAAGCTGTTGCAAATTTCAAGTTCCAGGATTCTACTTGATGAGGACACGTCTCAGGCGAGACGCCCGGCCCGCCCTAACCGCTGAAGGTCTGTAGTTGTGGTTTCCCCCTTTTCTCGCGGCGGTAAGTAGGGCTGGTCCTAAAACCTCCTCCTCCCTCTTTCTCTTTCTCCTCCTCCTCCTCAAGAATGATACGGGGAGGAGGAGGAGGAAGAGGAGGAGGAGGAGGAGGAGGAGGAGGAGGAGGCGGAGGGAAGGAGGAGGAGGAGGAAGAGGAGGAGGAAGGATGGGGAGGAGGAGGAGGAGGAGGAGGAGGAGGAGGAGGAGGAGGAAGAGGCCGCGAACAACAACAAATCCCTCTTGGTGCGACCCCAACCCTTCAATAAGGCCGCCGAAAATAATTAGTTATTCCCTATCTGAGGGGTTTTGAAGACCTTTCAGGGTTACCGACCCGTGAGGACGAAGGATGGAGGAAGTGTGAGAGGACGAAGAAGATGAAGAGGTAGAGGAGGGGGGGGAAGGGGAGATGCGGGAGGAGGGAGGGGAAGGAGCAGGAGGACGCAGCAGGGGGAGCAGGAGAAGGAAGAAAAGGAGGAGCGCCGCACAATGTGGCGCACGCCGTCGCACACGCCGCGGCGCCGCCAACACTGGGCGCACTGTGGTGCGACGCTGGGGCGGCGTCCACCAGCAGCAGGCCCAGGCGTGCCTGTCACTGTGAAGAGGGAGGGGGATGGCCTCCTCGTCAGCCTCCTCCTTCTCCTCCTTTTTCTCCTCCTCCTCCTCCTCCTCCTCCTCCTCCACCCCTCTTCTTTATTCATACCTCCTCCTTCTCCTCCATTTCTCCTCCCTTTTCTCCTCCTCCTCCTTCTCCTCCACCCCCCTTCTTTGTTCGTACCTCCTTGCTGTCCAGCCCCAGACGTGTCGGCGGGGGGGGGGGCGGTCGACGGACACTTCCCCACCGCTCACGACCCGGAACCTCGCAGGTGTCGCAGCAGTTCCACGGACGGAGGGCCGGCCGTTTCCAACGCGTGGCGTTCGCCCTGACGTCGAGTCGGGCGTGTCCCCCCTGCAGGGGGCCTTCGGGCGAGGAATAAAAAACCACGGGAACACATGTCCCCCACATCTGCAAACACAGTAAAAAACAAGACCGCCCCCCATTTTTTTCTTTGGGCTGTTTTTGAATGTTCATCCTGTAGAGGGACAGGCCCGACTTTAACCCTAACGCCGCGCGCGTTCATGTTGCACAGTGGCAGCAGTTTCACGGATTGAGCTCGGCCCCAATTCAAAAAGTGGATCTCGCCTTCGCGCCGCGCGCATTTGTCCTGCACGCCTGCGACCGCTTCACGGATTGAGCGTGGCTTCTTTTCAACATGTAGCGCTCGCCTTGGCGCCGCGCGCATTCGTCTCCAAAAAGGGAGCAGCCTCGCGGATGAAGGGCAGCCCTTTTCCAAACTTAGCGCCGCGTTCATTCCTTTTGAAAGTTTGCAACAGTTCCAACGATTCGCATGGTCGATGCCCAGCGAACGGTAATCTGGAAATACTTGGGACTGCCAGAACGCAGCCGTCACCTCGATTCGCGGTGTTGAAGTCCCAGGAATGGTGTTCTCGCGCGGTTTAGGAGTATCAGGACGCAACGGTCATGTTGACTCGCGACGCTGAAGTCCCAGGAACGGTGTTCAGGCACGGTAGCGAATTATCAGACGTTTGTTTCCCAATGGGTATGTCCCACAATGATTCTAACTTCTTGTAGGGCCAAACGAAGAGGGAACTTGGAGGGAGGGTTTACTGCAGCATCGCTGACGCGTCGTAAGTTTGCACTGGTCCTCCTCCTCCTCCTCCTTCTCCTGTTGACGAGCTGAAAGCACGAATGTCTCCACGGACGCTGCCAGTGGCCCCCGCCTGCCTCTGCCGTTTGGCATCGCAGGCGGGGGCCATTCCGAAAAACTGGCAGCTTCCGGCGGGCGGTCCTCCTCCTCCTCCTCCTCCTCCTCCTCCTTCTCCTGCACCAAAAGGTACCGATACCGCTACTCCCCAGACCTCTCATGGGGTGCGCTCTGACCAAGATTTCGAGGCGAATCCAGCGGTGGCGACGACGGAGGCTTAGGAGGCCCAAACAGGGGAAACGAGGGGAGGGTAGAGGTATGGGTACCTTTTCCTCCTCTGACCTCCTCCTCCTCCTCCTCCTCCTCCTCCTCCTCCTCCTCCTCCTCTGGCTCCTCACGACGGCTCCTCGCACTCCCTCGCGGGCGCCGCTGGGGGACAGTTGGGCCCACGGTGGGGTGGCCCCGCTGCCCCCCCCCGGGGGAGGCTGCCGCCGCGGGCCCAACTCGGCCCCTCGGGGGGGCTGCCTCGGGGGCTGCTGTCACCTACCTCTATAAAGGGGCCCTGGGACACACAAATAAGTAGACACAAATGATAGGATTCCCCATCTTTTCCCATATTTTCTGGGGAATCGACGATTCATTGTGTCTGTGTGCTTTTTTTCCCTTGGACTCGATTGGACAGGACACGCGAGAGGACAAAAGACCCTTCCGACGGCCACATCGCCACAGGAATGTACGAAGCATGGGTCGCGAGACACAGGACACAAGGGTACCCTTGAGCTGGCAGGGCCCCGCTCGGCCCCTCGGGGGCTGCCGCGGGGGCTGCTGTCACCTCCCTCCGTTCGCCGAGCGCGTTCCGCTACTCGCAAAGTGCCTACTCGCAAACGTCCGACAACAAAAAACTCATGTCCGCTTTGATGCAATTTGTCGTGGACCCTCCGGAGGGGATCCAGGCCATTTGCGAGCAGTCACCTTGCGAGTGGTGGAACGCGCTCGTCGAGCCATGAGGGAGGACGGCCGCGCCCACCCCCGAAGGGCATCTCGTGGTGGCCCAGCATCTTCACGTACCGGCTCGGGTCGCTGTGCATGGCTGTGTGGTGGATGCCGCTGTCGGGCCTGTCCCTCTACAGGGGGAATATTCAAAACGAGTCAAAAACTAGTATGGGGATGATTTTGTGATTATTATTACTATTCTTCTTATAATTATAATCATTATTATTAGCATTATGGTTATTAGTATTACTATTCTTCTTCTTCTTATTATTAATATTATTATTATTATTACTATTATTATTGTTATATATACACCAGTTTGGAATATGTTTTGAGTATCTTTTAGTTTTCGTCGAAAATCCCCCTGTAGGGGGACACGCCCGACTTAAGCGTAGGGTGCGGGCAGAAGGGCGCTGCCGGGCATGCAGCGCAGCCCCTGTGGCACCCTGAGGCCCGTCACTGTTGGAACCTTCCCGTCTTCGCCTCGCGGGGCCGTGAGCCGCGCGGCCCGAGGGCGAGGGCTGGTGGGGAGGGTGCTGGTGTCGGTTGCTGGTCGCCGCTCAGGCCATTCGCCTCATGGTGGTGTGGGCCCCCGCCTTGGTGGCAGTGCTACACGTCGGTCGGAAGAAGTAGGCAGAAACATGAAGTAGGAAGGCGGATATAGTGGATTGGGTCCAGGCCCTCCCAGAGAACAACAAAACACAGCAAAAGCACGCCGATTGTTGAAGTAGGAAGGCGCTTGAAGTAGATTGGGATCTGGGAATCCAAAAATACCTACTTTCAACGACCGGCGTGTACTGGTTGCAGTCGTGGCGCTATTGCTGGTCGGGGTCGCGGTGAACGGGGTGCTGCTGCTGGTCGCTGGGTGTGGCGTCTGGCGGAGGGCGGAATGGGGCGCCGTGGTGGTGCCGCTGTCCGCCGGCCCTGATGCTGCTGCTGCTGCTGCTCTGGGCTTGTCGTGCTTCTCCGGATGCTGCTGGTGGATTCCGTCGTGCTGCTCACGGTCGCGTTGCTTGAGCCTGGCATGCTGCTCACGGTCGTGCTGCTCTTGAGACCGTCGTGCTGCTCACGATGGCGCTGCTGGGGTCCGTCGTGCTGCTCACAATGGTGCTGCTGTTCGCTGCCCCTGCTGCTGCTGCTGCTGCTGCTGCTGGGGTCCGTCGTGTTGCCCACGGTCGTGCGGCTGAAGTCCATCGTGCTGCTCACGATGGTGCTGCTGGGATCCATCCTAGTGCTCACGGTCGTGCTGTTGGAAACCATCGTGCTGCTCACGACGGTGCTGCTGGAATCCGTCCTGCTGCTCACCATGATGCTTTTGGACTCCGTCCTGCTGCTCACGGTCTTGCTGCTTGGGTCCGTCGCGCTTCTCCGCATGCTGCTGCTGGATTCCGTCGTGCTGCTCACGGTCGCGTTGCTCGAATCCGTCGTGCTGCTCACGGTCGTACTGCTTGGGCCCGTCGTGCTGCTCATGATGGTGCTGCTGGAGTCCGTCATTCTACACGCGATCGTGCTCCTGGAGTCCGCCATGCTGCTCGCGATGCTGCCGCTGGAGCCCGTCATGCTGCTCACGGTCGTGCTGTAGAAGTCCATCGTGCTGCTCACTTGAGCTGCTGGCGCCCGTCTTGCTCATCACGCTCGCGTTTCTTGAGTCCGTCGTGCTGCTCATGGTCGTGCTCCTTGAGTCCGTCTTGCTGCTCACGATGGCGCGGCTGGAGTCCGTCGTGCTGCTCACCGTCATGCTGCTTGAGACGTCGTGCTGCTCACGATGGTGCTGCTGGAGTCCGTCCTTCTGCCCACGGTTGTGCTGCTGGAATCCGCAATGATGCTCACGATGATGCCGCTGAAATCCGTCATGTTTCTCACGGTCGTGTTGTTGGAGTCCGTACTGCTGCCCGCGCTCGTGCTGCTGGAGTCCGTGGTGCTGCTCACGGTGGTGCTGCTGGGGTCCGTCATGCTGCTCGAAGTCGTGCTGCTGGAGTTCGTCGTGTTGCTCCCGATACTGCTGCTGCTGCGTCCGTCGGTGTGGAGCGTCGGGAGCAAGCAGTCGTACTAGACTCGGGAGCCATTCTAGCGTCGATGCTAGAGTAGATCAAGGTGTTTGTGATGACGTACATGTTGTAGATGCTGGCTCCGGTGCTGATGGTCGTGCCATTTTCGATGACGGTGCTCATGATGGTGACATCGATGCTGCTTTCGCTCATGAGGCGTCGGGGAGAGTGGGGGAGGGCATCGGACATGGCGTCGGTGGGAGCGTCGGTGGGAGCGTCGGGAATGACGTCGTGCGGGTGGTCGGCGAATCGTATCTGTCGGAATGGTGGTGTCTGTCGATGGCCGCGTAGGAGGACTGGCTTCGATGCTGGGGCTGGAAGCGTTGGTGCTGGGGCCGATGCTGGCGTAGGCGCAGGCGTCGATGTGGGCTTCTGTGCTGGAGTTAGTTCTGTGCTCGGTGCTGGCGTCGATGCTGGGGTCGATGTTGGTTTTGGTCGGTGGATCGCGGAATTTGGCGTCTGAGATGGCGTCAGTGTGGGTATGAGACATGGCGTCGGTGGGAGCGTCGGTGATGACGTCGCGCGGGCGGTCGGCGAAGCGCACCTGTCGGAGTCCTGGTGTCTGTCGATGGGCACGTAGGAGGGCTGGCTTCGATGCTGTCGTGAAGTCTGATGCGGATGTCGATGCTCGCGTGTGTGCAGGCCTCGATGATGGTGTTGGTGATGGCGTAGATGCTGGCTGCGATGCTGGAGTCAGTGCTGTGTTGGGTAATGGCGTTGATGCTGGGGTTGATGCTGGCGCCGATGCTGGAGTCGATGCCAGGGTCGGTACTGGTGCCGCTGCCGAGGCCGATGCTGGCTCAGGTGCGGGCGTCGATGCTGGGGCCGATGCTGCCGTAGGTACGGGAGTCGATGCTGGCGCCAGTGCTGAAGTCAGCGCTGTAGTCGATGCTGGCGCCGGTGTGGCTTTCGTTGATGGCGTCAATGATGGCGCCGACGCTGACGTCGAGGCTGGCGTCGGTGCTGGCCTCGATGCTGCGGTCGTTGGTGGCGCTGACGTGGTCGTAAATGCAGGCTCCTGTGCTGAGTTCGGCGCTGGTGCCCGAGTCGGCGCCGGTGCCGATACTGTAGTCGATGCGGGCTTTGGTGCTGAGGTCCGTGTTATCTCCGCTGCTCTTGTGGATGCTGAGGTCGATGATGGCGTGGGTAGTGGTGTCAATGCTGGGGTCGATGCTAGTGTCTGTGCGCATGTCGATGCTGGCTCCGGTGCTGGAGTCGGCGGTGGTGTCGATGATGGCCTGGATGCAGGTCCCGATGCTGGAGTCGGTCGTGTCCTCGATGCGATCGTCGGCGCTGGCGTCGATGATGGGGTCGGTATTGGCGTCGGCGGGTGTGTTCATACAGTGATACGGGCTCCTCCTCGACGGCAGCCTCCATGACGCCCCTATCGCCGTCATGGCCTGTGGATGCCATCCCGTTGCGAGCGCTGGCGCTCGTGCGGGCAGGGGTGGGGAACTGAGTTTGCGTACGCCTGTGCGTGGGCACTTGCATTGGCTTCCACTGTGTTGTATCAGGTGCTTGCTTCCACTGTGTTGTATCAGATCTTTGATTCTACTTCTTGCATTTGCTTCTACTGTGTTGCATTCGATATTTACTTCCACTGTGCTGCATCAGGTGCTTGCTTCCACTGTGCTCCAGGTCCTCCTCCACCTCCTTGACGACAGCTCCCAAGACGAGGCCCTGTTGGTGAGGGCAGGCCCAGGTTGGCAGCGCTGGCGCCATCCTGTAGTCTTGTGGATGCCATCACAATGGACACTCTAACAATCCTGTCATTGAATTAGAGATGTGGTCGATATGTCTAAAACATGTTCTTAAACATTATAAAGCATGTTTTTACATGTTTAAGACTTGTTTGACACATTTTTTAGACATCTGGAAATTATTTGGCAGCATGCTTCCTTTCCATTGGTCGACTTCCGCAACTCTAGTCTTGGAGGCCCCTTCCACCCGGAGGTCGGTGAGGATTACGGCGCGATGCCACCAAGCGAGGCCGCGGCGCCAATTGACCGTCCGAGCCGGCCTCCGCCGTGCGCAGGTCCTCGGTCGGGAGCTTCGCGGGACTGGCCTCGGCATCGGCTGGAGTCGATGCTGGAATCCGTGCAGGCGTCGATGCTGGGGTCGCTGCTGGCGTCGGTGCTGGGGTCACCGTTGGCGTCGACGCTGGAGTCAGTGCTGTTGTCCGTGCTGGGGTCGCTGCCGGTGTCGGATGCTGGTGTCGATGCGGACGACGATGCAGGGTCCTGAGCTGGAGTCGATGCTGTCTTCGGTGCTGGTGTCGGTGTGGGCGTGGGGTGGGGCGCCTTGACAGGCGGTGACCTGGGCCGCGGGGTGGTTGGTCGCTGTGGTGGCCACCTCAGCGGCCTTGTACTGCACGAAGCCGCAGCCCAGGGAGCGCGCCCGTGCGGGCCCAGGATGACATGGCGTGCGTGGATCTTGCCGAAGACGCTGAAAAAGGCGTTGAAGGCCTTGTCGTCGATTTGGCCCATTCCGCGCACGCATATGGACTTTGTAGCGTCATGCCCGCAGAGTCCCGTGGTCTGATCGCTGGTGCGGTGTTCGTCGGTGTGGGAGTGGTCGGGCGTCCCTTGGCTTGGTGGGGCCCTCGGGAAGAAGGGGAGGGCAACCTTTCGCAGTGCGGTGCTCGGTACTGACGTAGATGCGGGAGACGCTGCAAACGTAGATGCTGGGGTCGAGGTTGGTGTCGGTGCTGGACTGGTACTGGTGCTGGCATCGTAGCTAGGATTGGCGTTGGCGTCGGTACTGGGTTCGTTAGTGTGGGCGCTGTCGTAGATGGTGATTCCGGCGCTGTCGTCTCTGCTGGCGTTGCTATTGGCGTCGGTGAAAAGGCTATTGACGACCGTGCTGACGTCGATGCGGGCGTCCCTCTCCCTCCTCCTCCTTCTCCGCGCCACTCCTCCTTCGAGCCGACCTCCGAGGCCTTCGCGAAGTTGATCTTCTCCATCTCCTCGACTACGGCCCCCAAGACCAGCTCCTCCGCAAACTCAGGGCCCAGGGCGTCGCGTTTCGGAGGGAGGAGGGGGAAGAAGGAAACTAAAAAGACTCGGCCTTGCTCGTGGTCTCATCGTGTGACCGCTGATCGCCGAGCGTCGGGCTCGGACAAAAGCATACCTCGACAGTCCCGCGTGAGATCGCTCACGCAGGAGGCGGAGGGCATCGCACGCCGTGCAGTCCCTCGTGGGAGAGCTCTCATTCAGGCATGAAGCAACTTGCCGTTCTCTTCTGGGCAAGGGGTGATGCCCCCTCGGATCTCTTTGAGCCCGAGCCGCCGACACCGTGTGTGTGTGTGTGTGTGTGTGTGTGTGTGTGTGTGTGTGTGTGTGTGTGTGCGTGCGTGCGTGCGTGTGTGTGTGTGTGTGTGTGTGTGTGTGTGTGTGTGTCTGGCATGGCAGCCGAGACACCCGCCCCGCCCCGTCAAAAACTCACCAGCTCGCCGACGAGAAACCTGCGCCTCCTCCTCCCCCTCCTTCCCCCCGCCCGCCCTCGACGAGGCTGAGCATAAGTGTGAAGCAGGGGGCGGGGAGGGAGGAGGGGGCGGGGAGGGGAAGTGTCAAGTCGGGCCTGTCCCCCATACAGGGGGATTTTGGACGAAACAAACACCCCAAATGTCCAAACATAACCAAAAAAAGGCCCCAACAATTGTCCCCATACTATTTTTGACTATTTTTGAATTTTCCTCCTGTAAAGGGACAGGCCCGACTTAAGGCTAAACACAAGTGTGAGGCAGTGCATGCGGTGGGGGAGAGAGCGGGGAGGGGAAGTGGACAATAGAAGCGACAGGCAAAGGGGCTGAGGGAGAGGTTGCGCACCTGGGCAGCGGCGCATGCACAAGCTCGCTGCGAGGTACCACGTATGAGCAGGAGGAGACGGTGGTGGCACCAACGGCAGCGGCGGTGGCCTCAAGCCTAGCAGAACCAGTCGGCGACGTGCCCGGTCCACCGCACCCCGAGGTTGAAGTCAAAGCCCAGCGTACCAAGCCAACAATGCTGAAGCACACCATGGAACATCCTTCCATTCGGTTGTCGTTGTGTCTCTCGGATCGTGTCCCTGGAAAGCCACGGCTCAGCAAGTGCAACATCACGCCATGGAAAATCTTTGCTTTCGCTGGTCGTCAAGTATCTCGGAACGCCTCCCTGGAAATCTACCAAGCCAACAACCTGCAAACACGCCATGGAACATCTCGGAGGAGGAGGAAGAGAAAGAAGAGAATGAGGAGGAGGAGGAGGAGGAGGAGGAGGAGGAGGAGGAGGATGGGGCGTCCGTGCTTGGGTCGATGCTGGCGTCGGTGCTGGCGTCGATGCTGGATTCGCTGCTGGTGTCGGTGCGGACGTCGATGCAGGCTGTGCTGCAGGGGATGCTAGCTGCACTGCTGCGGTCGATGCTGGTGTCGATGCTGGCATTACTGGTGGCTTTGATGCGGGGCTCAGTGCTAGTGTCGCTGACGTGCAATCTGGCTCCGGTGCTTGAGTCGATGTTGTCTTCGATGCTGTAGTCGATGTTGGCGCCGAGTCTGTTGTAAGTCCTGGCGTCGATGCATACGTTGATGTTACGGGAAATGCTCGTGTCGGTGCTGGTGCCGATGCTGGCATTGATGCTAGGGTCGATGTTGTCCTCGATGCTGGTGCGGATGCTGGCGCCGGTGCTGAGGTCTGGCGTCCGTTATGCTCACGGTCGTGGTGCTGGAGTCCGTCGTGCTGCTCACGATGCTGCCGCTGGAGTCCGTCATGCTTCTCAGGGTCGTGCTGCTCACGACGGTGCTGCTGGAGTCCGTCCTGCTGCTCACGGTCGTGGAGCTAGAGTCCGACGAGCTGCTCCCGATGCTATTGCTGGAGTCCGTCACGCTGCTCACGGTTGCGTTGCTGGAATCCGTCGTGCTGCTCACGGTCGCGCTGCTGGGGTCCGTCGTGCTGCTCACGATGGCGCTGCTGGGACCCGTCGTGCTGCTCACGATGATGCTCCTCCTCCTCCTCCTCCTCCTCCTCCTCCTCCTCCTCCTCCTCCTCCTCCTCCTCCTCTCTCACTCACCCCCACCTGTTCCCCCCCCTTCCTCCTCCCCCGCCCCCTCGCCGCCCCTCGCCCCCCCCCTCTCCTCGCCCCCCCCCCTGTGGCCGAAGGGGCCTGGCGTCCAGGCCGTGGCGCGGTGGCCGCCGCCGCCTGGCGGGCGCCGCCCCAGGCCGGCGGCGTCCAGGCGGCCGCCCCGGGTGGCCCTGCGAGCGCAGAGGCGAGCGCGCCCATGGCTGCGGGGCCACGGCCGGCCCGCCCTGCGCGGCCCCGCCCTCAGAGCGGAGGGCGCATGCGCGGTCGTCGTCGCCGTCCGTCGTCGTCGTCGTCGTCGTCGTCGTCGTCGTCGTCGTCGTCGTCGCCGCCGTCGTCGTCGTCCTCGCCGTCGTCGCCGTCCGTCCTCGTCGTCGTCGTCGTCGTCACCGTCGCGTCGTCGCCGTCGTCGTCGTCGACGTCGTCGTCGTGGTCGAAGACGTCGTCGTCGTGGTCGGAGCCAACATTGTCGTCATCGTCGTCGTCGTCGTCGACGTCGACGTCCTTCACCATCGTCGGTCATAGTCGTCGTCGTCGTCGTTGTCCGTCGTCGTCGTCCGTCGTCGTCGTCGTCCGTCGTCACCGTCCGTCGTCGTCGTCGTCGTCGTCGTCGTCGTCGTCGTCGTCGTCGTCGCCGCCGTCGTCGTGGTCCTCGCCGTCGTCGCCGATCGTCGTCGTCGTCGTCGTCGTCGTCGTCGTCGTCGTCGTCACCGTCGCGTCGTCGCCGTCGTCGTCGTCGTGGTCGAAGACGTCGTCGTCGCGGTCGGAGCCACCATTGTCGTCATCGTCGTCGTCGTCGTCGACGTCCTCCGCCATCGTCGGTCATCGTCGCCGTCGTCGCCGTCGCCGTTTTTGTCGTCGTCGTCCTCCTCGTCGTCGCCTTTCGTCGCCTTTCGTCGTCGTCGTCGTCGTCGTCGTCCGTCGTCGTCGTCCGTCGTCGTCGTCGTCGTCGTCGTCGTCGTAACCGCCGTCGTCGGCGCTGCAGATGTCGTCATCGTCAAGGTCGTCTGTTGCCTTCGTCCGTCGTCGTCGTCGTCATTGCCGCCGTCGTTCCCGTCATCGTCGTCGTCGTCGTAGTCGTCGTCGCCGCCGTCGTTGTCGTCGTCGTCGTCGTCGTCGTCGATCGCCGTCGCCGTCGTCGTCGTCGTCGTCGTCGTCGTCGTCGCCGTCGTCGTGGTCGGAACCACCGTTGTCGTCGTCGTCGTCGTCCGATGTCGTCGTGGTCGTCGTCGTTGCCGTCGTCGTCGTCGTCGTCGTCGTCGTCGTCGTCGTCGTCGTCGTGGTCGTCGTCGTCCGTCGTCGTCGTCGTCGATAGTTGTCGTCGTTGTCGTCGCCTGTAGCCGCCATGATCGTCGTTGTCGTCGTCCGTCGTTGTCGTCGTCCGTCGTTGTCGTCGTCGTCGCAGCCGTCGGCGCCACCGTTGTCGTCGCCGCAGTCGTCGCCGACGTCCGTCGCAATTGTCCGTCGTCGTCGTCATCGTCGTTGTCGTCGTCGTCGCTGTCGTCCGTCATCGTCATCGTTGTCGTAGTCGTCGTCGTCGTCGTCGCTGCCGTCGTTGTCGTCGTTGTTCTTCGTCGTCGTCGTCGTCATTGTCATCGTCGTCCGTCGTCGTCATCGTCGTCGTCGTTGTCGTCGTCGTTGTCGGCGATCGTCGTCGTCGTCGACGTATTCTTCGTTGTCGTCGGCACCGTTGTCGTCGTCGTCGTCGCCGCCGTCCGTCATCGTCGTCGTCGTCGTCGTCGTCGTCCGTCGTCCGCCGTCTCCGTCTCCGTCGTCGTCGTCGTCACCGTCATCATCGTCGTCGTTGTCGTCGGCTCCGTGGTCGTCATCGTCCGTCGTTCGTCGTCGTCGTCGTCGTCCGTCGTCGTCGTCGATCGTGGATCGTGGATCGTCGTCCTAATAACCTAGAAACGGGACTACAGGTTGCGCAAAAAGATGTTGGCTGCTGTGAGTTGTCAACTCCACTGCTCGCGCAATCATCCCACCCTCCCACGCGCAGGTTGGTTTGCAAAAGCCATGCGGCGGCGATTGCGATGGCGACTTGGTGCTCGCTGGCGCACCGCTGTGGCCGCGCTAGCGCGCGCAGGCTCGCGTGCACAGCCGCCACTAGTCTGGCGCGACCGACACGGTCGCGGTGGCGCTAACCGCTGGGGACTTCCCAAACGCGGGCACTTGAATGCGAGCCGGTGGGTCGGACAGGCGCCGTATCATGGCGACGTCGGCAGCGGCAGACACGGTGATGATTGCAGCGATGGTTGTGACGACGATGACGATGACGACGGCAAGGCCAACGACGGCGGCGATGCTGATCAGGTCGGTGACGATGATGGTGTCCACGCGTCGGTGATGCAGGTTGCGGGGAAAAAGGGATTTCGACATGCCCGCGCGGCCGACGGGCGCGAGTGGCCCGCATGGTTTAATGTGATGGGGGTCGTGCCCCCGCAGCACGCGCGCAAGGGCGTTCGAATTATTTCGACATGCCCGCGCGAGACGCACGTGTGGTCGAATTCGATGAAGATGTTGGAACACATGCTGTTTTCATCGGAAGAAATCGAGCGCGCAGACTTGCTTTGACAATTCATATTGAAATCCTTGCGGAACCTCAGGTTTTTGAAAGATTGCGGCATGCGCGCGCGACGACGCGCGCGTGTCCACGTCGTGCCTCTTTTCCCAATCTATTCCGGAACTTTGTTTTTTCTTTGGCGAGGCGTGCAAGCCCTTCTGGTTCACATGCACTTGCGCCCTTGCGCGCAGCGCATGAACTCCAGCCTTTGGTCGATCGCTACTGATGGTCCCGTAGTGGCCGCTATACAAAAAAATCGAGGGCATCGCTGTTGGCCATCGGGCTTTGCCCTCTGCGCCACGGCCTCCCAATGGCACGGCGGGGCGGGAATACTACTGGGGTCAGGTGGTCGAAGCAAGGATGCGGTAGAGGAGAACGAAGGTAGGCAGAGAGAATTAGCGCAGAACGCACAAGAGGGCGGGCTGGACAGCTGGCAGCAAACACTTTGTCCGCGAGCGCCACAGGAACACGCCCTCTTCGTGCCTGCGCGTCCTAGCTATGGCCACACGGCGCCAATTAGAACATCGCGGCAAACGTGGCTCGCTCCCGAACGTTACAAAATGGCCGCATTCATATTGTGGCATGCAAGAAGAGTCAGTACTGTAGATTCACATTGTGGCACGCTGTATTGCGGCAGTTCATATAGTGGCACAGTGCGGTGTGTCAAAATGTCTGGAGCAGAATGACTAGGGGGAGGGGGCAAATATGTCGTACAGAGCTCACGCCACCGTGCCGACCACCTTCCTCACCTTTCCCATGACCCTCTTCATCCAATCGAACTCTCTGAACTTGTTCCTCCACGGCACTGAGCCCCACTGCCTGTTGATGACGTGGTCCTGAATCAAATGCTCCTGGAAGAGATTGTGTCCTTCGGTCCATTCCGAGTGGCCGTCTGCCGTGCTTAAACCTCCGAAACCGTACAGGTTGAGCTCGTCACACACAGGCAGGAACGTGAAAAACGCATGGAGGCCCGTGGTGGCCAACGCTCCATGCAGAGTGTTGAATCCCGTGGCAACCATCCTTGATATGTTCGTGTGCGTGCAGCCCACCAGGGGATGGTCGGGGCCCCAATTGGAAGCCATCTCGCTGGGCTTGCACCTAACAAGGTCCCCGCGGGCAATGATCCCGGCCTTGGGACACCCGACGGCGTCGGCGCACTTGATCACCTTGGCGTTTTCACCACCCATCAAAGAGACGGCCCCCTGCCACTCGTGGCTGACATACAAGAAGTCAGTCTTTGCGCCGAAGTCGGCGTAGTACTCGCCCCTGGGCAGGCGGTTGATCCTGATGACGGCAGTGTGCCCGTCGATCTCCGCGCCCTTGTGCGAGCCCTTCATCACCCCGGACGCCCCGACCAGCGCACACCTCGACAGGTCGAGCTTGTCGAAACCCTCCCCCTCGACCATGTCGAGCACGCCGTGCAGCCTGTCCCGCCCGAGCGCTGCGGCGGGCTCCTCGACGCCGGGGGCGAGGTTACGGCCCTGGTCCATCCTCCAGGTGTCGAACTCCCCGTTCTTGGAGCACGACCCGGGCACCACCAGATGGCGCAGCTGGCAGGGGGTGAACGCCGCGCGGTCCTGGTGAGCCACGACGATGGCCTCGCACAGCGGGTCCTGCTCGCAGCGCATCATGCACTCGTTCACGGTGATCTTTCGCCCCGCGTAGGTCTGAAAATGAGTGCCGGTGATCTCTGGGAAGTTCCAGCTGCCAGCGCCGGGGTAACAATTGAGGCCCGCATAGCGCTTCCAGCCGGAGAGCTCCTGGATCTGCGCGATGCGGTCCGGGATGGGGCCCCGCCTGTAGGAGTCGTAGGAGGGGCCGCCCTGGCACTCGTCGAGCACCAGCTCCGGGAGCAGCCAGCACGGCCCACTCGTGTTCTTGCCTGCTTCCACCGTGATTCCGTGGCAGTAGTCGTTCTCCATGCACGCTTTCAGACACGCGTCCAGGGTGCAGTTGCTCCCGTGGTCCTCGCTCGTGCTGCCGTCGGGGAAGTGTCCGCTGCCAAAGCCGACGCGCCAGCAATTCTTCCCCTTGACCAGCGACCAATCCTGCGTCAAGATCTCGGCGACTCTGTCGTTGATGGTCCCGGATGCGCCCATCCCAGCGACATTCTCAGTCACACCAGGGTGCAGGGTGAGATTGCGGTTGCTCAGCATGTCTGCATCCTCTTCTCCCGTGAGGCCCCGCGGTCGGGCCCACACGCTCAGGCCCCTGCCTGCTGCGCACCACAGCGCCATCCCCACCGCAGCACAGCACACGGCGACGACGCACGCCCGCCGCGGCAGCCCCCCTCGGTCGGCGGCCGGCACCTCGGCGGGGGCCTCGGTGCCGCTGGCCCCTGGGGCCCCAGCGTCCGCGGCCGCCCGGAGCCCCGCGACCGCGGCGTAGTCGGCCATGGCTCTGCGGTGAGGGGCAGCGATATGGGGGGGCGGGCTCGTTGCCCCCGATTCGCTTGGCTCGGGCACTGCCGGGGTTCGGCGCAGGCCAGCGGGCCCTCCGTGGCGCGCTCGTCTCGTGCCGCGCGCTGGAGCCAAAGTGGCTTCGGACGATATATTCGGGAGCTCTGGTGATTGTGGACAAGCGAATGTGCACGCACTATGTTTTTTTGCACAGCCTGGGGGGGGGGAAGGTCGATGCCAGCTGTGCGGGGATCACCTGCATTCATCTTTGGAATGAGCGAT